CTGCTGGTGCTGCTGGTACTGCTGGTGCTGCTCCTGCTCGGGGGCTGGAAGTAGCTGCCCGGTACCTCCTCCACCGCCTCCGCGCGCAGCCGCCAGCCCACTTCCGGACGAAGCCGGAACCGGAAGCAATTTCAGGGGCGGAGCCCAAAAGTCCACTGCCCGAGTAGTTGGGCACGCTTGTGGGCTGGCGTTCACGTTACGCTGAGGTCTTCCGGGACCCTCAGGTCTTTCCTTTTAGGGAATGGGAGCCACGCCCATGCCTAGGCAAGTGTGCATCAATAGCTGACAAAATGCTGAAGATTTTTAGACTTGAACGTGTGGTGGCCTTGATCTGGCAGTGGGGGACCAGAAAGGGCATGATGAGAAGTGGGGCCCAGTTAAAGAAGCAGGTCCTTGTAGAGAGTATATTCTGAGATTAAGGAATCAGGATGGAGTCAAGGAAGAGTATAGGGTGCCAGAATTTGGTGCCTAGGCTGGTGCCTGAGAGTTCAGTTAGGGAACAGGTTAATTGATAGCTGAATTGGGTTTATTATTTTAAAATAAAAGTAAAGAAATAGGGCTCGTTTTTGTTTTAAATGCATCTCATTGAGCTGTGTCTGCAGATTAAAGAAAATAGATTTCATCTATCTTAAGTGCTTGAGAACTCCCAGCATTATGCTGAGTGAACTTAACTCGGTCTCATAAAGACAAATACTACATAAGGCCATTATTGTAAAAATAAAAATAACTAGGATAACTAGTAAAACATGTATGGGGATCCAAGGGAGGAAGGGGGAGAGCAGAGAGGTGAGGATGGGCAGGGGGAGGAAATCATTGAGTCGTACAATTTGGTGGGTGGAGGGAAGCAGGGATAAAAGAAATGGGAAAGATCTGGCAGGGATCTGAAAAGATGGTAATGGTGGTAATAATTCAGTGGGGATTAAGTTTATAAAACAATATATGGGAATGACTGAAACATAATATGAAGGAAAGTGTAAAGCACAATGTATATGAATTTTGTATGTAAACCAATATTTAAGAAAATATTAAAAAGATAACTCCCACAGAGGTAAATAGGTGCTAAGGGGAAATACTAGGGGCCCTGGAAGCTGGTAAAGCCTACAGCAAGGAAAACGTTTTTTGTAACACAGGCAGGCCACAAGAACCAGAACATCCAGGTCAGAAAGAGCTTTAAACTAGAAATACTGTTGTACAGATTTAAAAAAAAAACACCAACTCTGGTAGCCTAGTGGTAAGGAGTTATGCTGCCAATCCAAAGGTATGTGGTTTGAATCCACCAGTTGCTCTGCAGAAGAAAGATGGGCAGTCAGTCTCCTCCCTTGCAATTTACTGCCTCTGAAAATCTGCTGGAGGGTCAGCTATAAATTGGTTCTGATTAGACTCAGCCTTATGTTCTGGTTAAGGTGGCCGAATTAAAAAAGTCATTATCTGGAATGTTTTAAGTACTGAGTGTCTGAACTCTCTCAGCAGTTCTGCAGGGAAAAGACTCTGCTTTCACGAAATTACAACCTAGATCTCATTAAATCTAGAGACTTTCAACTGCAGAAAGTAGATATTATTACTGTTCCTGTTGGTTATTTTGTACCATCAAGTGGGAACCAAATCATAGTTGACCCACTAGCAGGTTGCCCATCTTTCTTCTGCAGATCAGCTGCTGGATTTGAACTATATGCCTCTGAGATGCCAGTGCAGCTCCTTTCCACTATGCCAGCAGAACTCCCTGGCAAACTTACAGAATGGTTCTACTAGGTCAAGTAAAGTTGCTGAGTCAGAATCAACTAGCTGACACCTAATAATAGCATGTCACTTTGTGTCCTCATCTGTAAAACAATGGCAACCATGTCCTGAGAGATGTGGTAATGTGTTGAAAACACAACCAGCTGCCCCACTAGATGTGCAATACCTCCTGTGTGATTTACAGCCTCTTAAATCCCCATGGAGGGTCAGCAATGAGTCCCAGCTGGATGGCAATAAATTACTGCAGCAATGAGGAAAAATGACCACCCGTTCTTGTTCTGGCATCTTTAAGAGTGCTTAAGAAAAAATGTGTTCAAAGGTTAATAAAAAGGAGCTAAGGGAGTGTTACCTTAGATAAAATGAAATACAAATGGCAAAGAAACTTGTGTAGGCCAAGAAGTATTCAAACAGAACAGGTTTGCATTCTTTTACCATATCTATTTAGTATCTTGGGCGATAATTTGAGAAGCTGAACTATATGAAAAAATGTGTATTGCAGGAATATTTATCAACCCACATTATGCACATGATACAATCTTTAAAAAAAAATTATTTTTTTTTTAGGAAGCTCTGGTGGCCTAGTGGCAAGAAGCTGCACTGCAATCCCAGAGATACATGGTTCAAATCCACCAGATGCTCTGCTGGAGAAGGAGGGGCAATCTCCTTCTCCAGCGGAGCATCTGATGGATTTGAACCACGTACCTCCCTTTGGAATTCTCCTTTGTTATTAATGAGAAAAGTGTTAAAATTCAGAAGAGTCTAAAATATGGGTAAGAATAAGAAGAAAAACATGTTAGCAGAAATATGAAGAACAGTTGAGAATAATAAGATGTTATAAGAGGCCTCAATGTTTGTGTTGTTTTGTCTTTTGTCTGCCGTGTCTGTTGTCTTTTTGTCTTGCGTTCAAAGTTATAACACTGATGAGCTCATACAGTTTAAAGGTTTCAGTTAAAAAAAAAAGAATTAGTAGAGACAGATATAAAGTTAATATCTGTATGAATTTGAAATCTCATAGGCGAGGAAATGCTGAGAGGGTGTTTCAAACATCTCACGGCGCCAAAAGAGACTTTTTGTCTCAAGAGATCTTTGAAAAATCAGCTCTTGGCATCCTCTTATCACCTTCATACATGCTTAGGTAGAAATTTCCATGTTTCAGCCAGTATTGTAAAATACACATGCCAGTGGCCGGCACTACAAGTCTATGTGAGTTCTGTGTGTCTGTGTTAGTTGCTCTACTTTAAATGAAAACCAGTAGGAGTAAAAATAAAAACTCTCCACTATAGCCCCTTAATTAATGCTTGCCTGTGTTGAACCTAGATGTCTAAGTCAAAGCTGCATGGTTTGATGATCACTTTCCTTCTAATAGACTCTTTTCAATTCTTCAGAAACATACCTTTTTGCCTTTACCTATATGTATCATAAAGGTCCTAACGTTTTTACAGATTTTTCTAATTATGAGAAAAAATAGAATATTGTAATATTAACAAATTCAATGCTGAATCATCTCTTTATAAATCAGTACTAGAAAGGAAATTATGTGCTTTTTTTTTTTAGCTTTAAAGATCTGAAGACAATATTGATATTGTTGTAGTTGTTGCTATGTGCCGTCAAGTCGCCTGCGACTCATAGGGAATTACTATTATTATTATTATTATGTGTTGCAAACGGAGGGTCCCAAAGAATGGAATAATAAACAGCCAGGAATGAAATGGAGCACAAAGCTTAAAACAGTGGGCCAGTACTTTTTGACTGGAAGCCCCTAGCCAAGCTTCTCTGTATCTTTATTAAGAATTATCAGGAAGTAAATCATAGAGAAAATTCAATGCAGATAAGGCCACGCTCTTTCTATTGAAAACCTTCTGCCTGGCTCGAGAGGGAGGGGCTCACAAATTCAAGAATTTGGTATGTCTTTGGGAATTGCCTTGATGCCTCAAGGTGAACTCCAGCTCAGGAAGCAACACTCCCTCTGTGGGGGTCCCCTGCTGTCTCCTGTCTGCAAGGAACAAACAGCTTATTTTCTAGGATCTAACACAAGGAAAACCCTAACTTACATATCTGTGGTTCCTTCAATTCCTTTTTCATATACTGTTTAGTAAAATGAAAGTAGTTTTGCTTTGAAATAGAATGTCTGGTTGTGCCAGAATATGAAAGATAGTAAAAGCTAAATTAAGGATGTATAGTAAGTTGTAAAAGGTTCAGAAAAAAGTGAATTTTAGTGTATGTATTTGGGAACAAGGATGGAGGAGAACTGTGTTAAACCTCAAAAATGTCAAATTCAATGCTATATCAAGAAATGAGGGAGGCTTAATGCAATCTGAAGGTCACCCTGTGGCACTAGGGTGTTCCCTAGGAGTCATCATTGTTCTTGGTTTGTATCAACTGAGTCCTTCCCTACTGAGATTAGCATAAAGAGGAACTTGTCCTTATCTGAGAAAGAGTTCACCATTATCCTTTATTTTTGTTTTGTACTTCCTTAGGATTTTACTTTGTTTACCTCCCTTGTTATTCTTGGTGGATACTCAGAGAGGCATGGCTTGGGGCCTTCATCATGGGAGCCGTTGGCCCCGTTTTTCACGCTGACTGTTCTATATCAGAATATTAATTAAATTGATCAATGTTTGGAACTGACTGAGCAGGACCTCTAACCATTGTTTAATATTCCAATTGGAAATAATGATCCTAATTCTAGGGGAGCATTAACTATGGAGGATCATTGGGCTTTGAAGGAAGTTCAGGATTTTATCTCTTCCTGTTCTCTCTTGTATAAATCATAGTAGAAAGTTATTGCTGTGTATTTTAGATGGTAAAAGGACTCCTACTGCTGTATTCTGACAGAATGCTCTTTTAAGATGAATTCATTTATCCCGTTCACCTAAAAAGGTTTTGTGGACTTGCCCACAGTCTATATCTCAATTAATAACACAGTCAGGAAAGACAATATTTTGATATAAGACCTTATAAAATTATTATCCCTTATTATACTTTACAAGTTAATTGGCTATATCAATATGGACAAAATGGATA